GAGTCATTATCAGTCAGAATTACAATATCAGTCGCATTTTGATTTCTTCGGTTTCATTGGCGCATATACAGGGCTCATTGGCCATTGCTATTAATTTATCTGTAATGAATAATAGTTCTAATCAAACTTCCTATTAGGTTGTGGATAGACAACACTACGATTTCTGCAAATGCACTCGGTTTTCCAAATAATTTCATGTTATTGTGTCATCGAAAAGCGGTTAGAAGGAGATTTGCTGGAACGAACTGCAGAGTAAATATTGGTCAAAACAGGGCCTTAAATACGGTCTAAAAGAGGGAGTACGATCAGTGCCCATGCTCTGATTTAGTGCCTCCATGATCGCCTACGGGGTACCTGATCCGTGAGGAGAACGAAACAGGGTCAAAGCTAGGGATCCAACGACCACACTTTCTGTGTGGAAACATAATGGATTACACCTGTCACTAATATTCACATCTATTATGTAAAAGCTCAACAAACGCATATCGAGACAGGAGAGCAGGAGGAACGTCGTCAATGCATCGCGGCGCTAGAACTTAACTTTGATGAAATGTATCGGAAACCATTACTGCTCCCACAAAAGAAGATAGGAGACACTGATTGACTCTATATTACCTGCTTATTCTGCGGACGATTCGGCAAGCATTACTCAAATTCTTGTTTGGTCATGGCTAATGGAGATGAACGCTAAGCGGTCCTTTCCAGAGCAAGGGTTATGCCAACTCTGTTAAGGTTTTCATGTTTTTGTAACCATAAATGTTACTACTGCATCATCGTAAACACGGCTCTTGCGATCCTCATCCGAAGGGACGAGGACGTTATGCACGGAGCGTTATGCATATACCTTATTTGGAAGATCGAGTCACACCATGAATTGCAGTGGAAGGACAACAGCTAAATGAAGTTTGGTTCAGGCAGGATTGCGTCGCAAGGAGAGTAACGTTATGCCACCTTGTACAGAGAGGGTCGTGCTATTCTGTGATATTCATATCAAGCTACCTCCGACAAGGGAGGTCTTTCAGGGCGTGGGACGCTTTCTGAAAATGTTTTTCTGCATGGTGTAGGTGCATGAGCACTGAGTACAGAATTATGATCCCTTTCTGCTAAATGACCTTCTGAATGCCAAAAAAGGAGTGAAAATGATTTAGTCGAAAATTGCCGCTTCAACCCACTAAGCCTTGTTCGCTTCATTAGTGGCGTCGACTGTCCGCACAGTAGAAGGCGTCAGTGGACTGCGCACAGTAGATAACGTGAACGACAGCCAAAAAAGGGATGTTGTTGATGACACATGTTGAAACATGTTGAAAAGTGCGGGGAAGTTTCATAGGAGCTGTCCACGGTTGAGCTGCTTTCAGCGTTGGATGGTATAGTGGATAGCGATGTAGACTTCGAGTTGAGAAGACTAAGCTATGTTGGTGGTTTGGATCTTCGAGGCGGTGACGTTTATGCATTTCATGCTGCCACCTCCATATTGGCTCCATATTGCATCAGGGCCAAAGCAAGTGCCTGACTGGTCATGGTCGTAACCAGAACCAGCGATGACCTCTACAAGTTGAATTCTACTGATATCGACTGAAACGAATTGTATCGCCAACACGGCGCGTACCGGCGCCGATATCAAGAATGAATGATTTGCACTTGTGATCACTGGACTTGACAACCCTCGCAGAGCAGAATATGGAATTACTCAAGTTTTCTTCGATGTGTAGAACTTTCTATTTATGCAAACAAGTTATCGACAAGTGTGGTACAACTCTAAAAAACAAATGAAGCAATGTTGTTTGCCGCACCAACTGCACTTCACAAATGCCAAGGGAGAGCACTTTCTGTTTCCTTGGCAAGCGCCACCACATCTCCCCTGTTTGAAGCGTTATCACTTGGCGTTGAAAATGGTCTAGGATGGTTGTCAACGTATCCTGCAGCAACCCAGGCGTACGCTATTCATGAGCGAAAAACGGGCGCACAAAACTGCCTTCACGTCTGGTTGACGGCCGGCACGAAAATTAATGAGCGGAAGTGCACCTATTATTGTTGATACAGAACTCTTACATTGAAAACGTTGTCTCTGGTGGAGGCGAAGTCAGAGTGATGATGCGCCACGTGGTCGTGGAGCCGCCTTATGTACCGCATGAGGGGTCGGAAGAAGTACACATCCAGCGGCTGGCACAGTGCAGTTGCTCAGTTGGCACAGTGGTGATAGTCATCAAACGAAACTTCTTGTCTCCACGAACCTCTGACAACACATTGGTGTTATCCGCGAACCCAGCCCAGCTGCCAAAAAGAAGTACTGTGAGTGGAGGGGACGATGACCCACTCACACACTTCTTGACGAAAGCTGGGACCTGCGACTTCGTCATGATGTGAGGCTTTCAAGCCAACACCGGCAAGTTTGGTGCATGCCAATGTCTCATCTGCGAGAGACTTCTTTTCTTTCGATAAGAATGACGAGTAGTCTATCTCTAGCCGTCCTTCTGCATATATCACTGGCATGGCAGTGAACGAATGTGTGAGTGAAGAAACAGGCTGCACCACTCGTATGACCTGCTTGGAGCGGTGCCAAAGTTCTGTAATGAAGAGATCATCAACGCGAAAGTAGTTCGTGTTTGTAGAGGTTATCGCTGGCCCTGGCCATCATACCAATCAGGCCCTTGCTTTGGCCATGATGCTATATGGAGCCAATCTGAAAGTGGCAGCATAAAATGCAAAAACGGCAGCGCCTCCAGGATCCGAACCATCAATGCTTCCCAGAATCGTCTCAATTCGAAATCCTCATAGCCACGGCACCATCCATCGCTGCCAGCAGCTCAAACGTGGACGGCTCCTATGAAACTTTCCTCACTTTCAACATGTTTCGACATGTGGCTCAACAACATCCCCTTTTGGTTAACGTTCAGGTTATTTTCAATGCGCAGTCCACTGGTGCCTTCTAAAGTGCGGGCAGTCGACGCCATGAATGAAATAAACGACGCTGAGTGTGTTAAAACGGCGACTTCTGACTAAATCACTTTCACTCTTTTTTTCGCATTCAGAAGGTTGTTTGGCGGAAATGGACCAAAGTTCTGTTCTCAGTGCTTATGCCCCTACATCATGCAAAAACCTTTTTCAAGAAGCGTTCACCGCCCTGAAATTCCTCCTTGTAAGGTGGATGTAATTTGGTGAGATCGACTGAGTTCTCAATTCCCTGTCTAGCTGGCTGGCTTCACACCTTCCCATGCTGTAGTTGCACCATCACGATAATATTGTGTGCAAAAATTTCTGCTGTTCCATTCTACTGATTCTATGTTCCAAGACTTTCATTGCAATCCAGTTCAGTCCACCGAAAGAAATCTTACCACAAGTAATAATATCGTTTGATAGATAGCGATTAAGCAGCACCTCGTTGTATGCTTCTGCATCCACTGGCCGTAGGGAGTTATGAATCAACCATCAGTACTCTTCCTTTTGTAAAGGGTGCCGATCATCCGAGCCTCTGTAAATCATTGGGTTGGCACTGCATAGCTGTTTGATTTTTGTTTCTGCATTCGATGAAATAAATGTCGACCAGTTGTCAAAAGCCAGGGAGACGGGCGTTAGGAACGATGTTGGGTAATCGATTCGCCGCACGCGGCTGTCGCGGACCACTCATTCGCCGTTATTACAGCTCTAGCGTTCCTCATACAGCTCAATCGATATGCGATCATTATTTTATGCATAATTCTACTATTAGTACTTCTGTTCTTGTATTTCTTACCTACTGCTGCATACTGCTACATTCCTTCGCGCGCGACGCCCCTCTCACCGCGATGCGACCATTTCGTTCTTAACGCACCACACCCCAACAGCCAACTAAGGAACCTTGTTGCGATACATGTGAGATATCATGCGGATGTAAAGTCGAATTTACAGCTATCGAATGCTCTCTGAGCAGTAATGAAGGTACAAAAGTGGTAAAATGCCTTTTACTGAGAGTCTCTTCGATGAAAAGGCTTATTTTCATAATCTATAATAAGGTTCAATAAGCGGTTGCTGCGCGAGTTCTTTCAGTAGCCCAAAAAAAACATGTACGATCTCTTACGCTGTACACTCATCCTGAGCTATAGTTTATAGTCCACTGCACAAAACCGATTATTCGAATCAACGCCAATCCTGCATTATTCCATGGTACCTCATGTGTAGCATTGCTCATCGCTACCATTTTTCCAAAATACTACTCATTTCTCGGGAAATGAACATGTTCTGACATGCGAATTTCTCAACTAGATTACATTATTTTACACAAATCACTTTAGAATTAGGTGACTTTTTAAAGAACGTGAGAGCTCTTTCCATAAATGAATCGTTTGTTGTGTCTGTTGTAAATGCTTCACATTCAAAACTGCTATTTCGACTTCATATTGCTTCCAATTTTTGTGCTGCATTATGACTGAATAAGCTATTTTTGTAGTACACATTCACTGAAAAAAATGCCCCATCTGTTAGTAACCACATCAACTGAAAAATATTTACGCCCATTGTGAATAGGTCCGGTTCACCTAATCCTCCAACCCTCCGCACACCTCCAAGCTTCGAGTTGTATTCTATCTTTTCTTACCACCACCATTAAGCTGGCCTATGATCGCTACCACTGTTCCATTACTCATATGGTCCATTTCCTGTACTGCTCCGATTTAATTATTACGATGACGTGGTACATTTATTGAAGGGTACCAATCCAAAATTTCCTTCAAGTTCGGCGTTGTAACATTGATATGGGAAGAAATGACGCAACAATTAAGGACACTGAAGGGAAAAGATTACAGCGAGTTTTAGAGCTTGAACATTTTTATCATCAGGTATGTGAATGGAAGTGAAATTTCTTCCTCCACGAATGGAATTGAGGTAGGATTCTCAAACAAATTTATTAAGGTAAATCTAGTCATGGTTACAGAATGCAACAATTCTTATGAATTCATTTTAGATATCCAATATCACACATCAAGATGACGGAACATATGAATGTGTTGCACGCAATTTGGTTGGCAATGATACAATCTTCTACACAGTCCGTGTTGTACGTAAGTGAAGAGGATCATAGAGAATACTGTTATTTTTTGCTGTCTCTTTCCATTTCTTCCCATCCTTTTTTGCTACACTGCGCAGAGGTGCCGACCATTCTCACTGGCGGAGCACAGACAGTAGTCGAAGGAAAGCTGGCTAGTATCGAATGCGCTGCCGAAGGTCATCCTCCACCAGTTATTAGCTGGTTAAGAAACGGTATACGAGTAGAAAGCGGTATACAAGGTGTTCGATATGATACTGAAGATAAGGTCAGTATTTTTGAAGAAAGAAGTACAATTTCCAGTCACAGATACGTACATTCCTTGTTCAGATGCTTATAATTACCGATGTGCAAAGCTCAGATTCTGGTATTTATGTATGTGAGGCTACAAACGAGGCAGGAATAGCTAGGCAAGCATACACACTCGAAGTTTTAGGCAGGTCAAAATCTGTCATACCGCAACGGAATTATCTTCTTTTTTTCGAATCAGCGATCTTTCAGGGTCAAAATTCCTAGTCATCACGAGCATATACTCATCAGTATTAAAATGCGCACCCGATCAGTAGCTTTACTATCACTTAGAGAAAATAAAAAGTATTATATTATACGATTAATATATGTATTGCAATTTGCAGTAGGCGGTACACTATATAAAATTTTATAATTGAGGGGTCATCACAGAAACGTGACGAGGCCATGACAGGGTACCACAGAGTTTCTGAACGATAAGTAGCCGGTTGCAGTGAGAATCGTGATTGTTTCTTTTCGGAATCCGACTTTGTGGTACTGTTCAATGATTCGATGTTAGGTATTGCACCTTGAAGAAGTGGTGGTTCCCTGTTCATCAGCCCGTAGTTTTCTCGTTTAATTGCTTTTTTGTCAGGGAAGTTAGGGATAACAGAGTGCTCGAGAGTGTAAGCCCATGTAAATGGCTAGGAACCCAGTCATAGTAACCTTGTACAAGGTCTGTAAAGGAAACAGAAAAAAAACCTAGGACGTTAACCGGAGGTGACACAATAAAACCTTGCCCGAGTTCCGTGAACATATGCAAGAACTACTGAGGCGTAAACGACTTAGGCCAAGTTCTTTCGAGTCGGGGCTGTAATCATGAGTTTGCTTACTGAAAAAGTTGCTGATCCATAAAGCGCAAGGATATCTAAGTCGTGTGCCTTCAGGAGTCGCGCTGTAAAGGAGCGAAGAGCAGAGAAATCGGGAAATGTCGTACAACACCATGGTCATACGTCGTACAGGGAAAAGGTGACAATAGTTATAGCGGAGTCCCTCGGGGGATATGCTACTACGGATCCACCGAGATAGAGGATCAGGAGCCAGGGCCTTCCATAGCGGACATAACCATCGATTTCCTACATAGCGAGGTGAGAATTGAGAGGAGAATCCGATGGTGGAGGCACCACTAAGTAGAAAAGACCATTTCGAGCGAAGCATATCGAAAGCTGCCTATCCAATCCCTCAAAGATAGACCAGTCCAGCAAACTTGGGACTATGCAGTCGAGGCCATCGTGCCCTGCGCAGAAGAAACGAAGATGCGCTCGGTGGCTCCTCCAACTACTGTATACTGTGATCACTGAAGAAAGTATCCAGACGCATATGGAGTGGCAGCATGATCGTTCTCATCCATAAGCGGAAGGCAGGCACAATATAACAATGACGTGATCCATCTCGCGGGATCGATTCGACTGCACATACAATGAAACTCTACGATAAGTAGGCTTAATATTGAGAAAACTTGTCCCAATCTCACATGAACAATTTGGCTTCGCACCGGGAAGGTTTACAACGCTATTTCGATAGCGAGGCGAATGATGAAGAAGTATCGTAAAAAGCTTAGACCCTACTGCTTCACCTCCTCAGACCCGAAGAGGGTGTGTCTACGATCTAGCAGAAAAGTTACGCACTCTCCCGAACGAAAGAGATAGGCGTCATGGGGTACGGGTGATCAGTAGCTACTCCTGAGCCCATTTCTATACGTGCTAGCACTGGAAGTGATCACAATGGGACTACTGACTACTACTTTGAGGGTGGACTACTGAGGATTATTTTTCACACAGATGACATCACTTCGATAGCAAAGAGTCGGGAAGAACACTAAGACCCACTGCACGAATATCGAGAAGTTCTAGAAGAGCTTGAACTCCGAATGTTAACAAATGTTGAGAAGATCAAGTCCCTCAGCTCCGAGGAGTGAACGGAGTCAATTGTAGAGGGCCCTAGGATGTCAAACAACGTAAGATGCAAGAATTCTGATACATGGGGAGTGACCTGGCGGCTGAAGGCAGCATAAAATAAGCTGAAAAAGCCGCAGGCAGTCTAGTAGTATCCTCTGTGATCAGCGATCAGCGATCAGCGTGGAAGCTCGTATGCATACCAAGGTGGTAACTCAGCATGCTCTATGGCAGCGATAGCTAGTCCGAAATCAGACTATATGAGAGCTATAAGAAGCAACTCACTCAACAGGTTGTTGCAATGGGCTGCCGTTGGACGCTGTTGGAGTGGGTTGGAAATGATGACATCAGGACGGCTATGGAATTAGCCCCTGTCTAGTTGAAAAAAATTGACAGAAGATATTGCAGTAAGCAATCAGGCTCACTTCGCTGATTTCGTTGATCATGGGGGTTGCATCGGTCAGGGTTACTGACCCTACTGCGATTCAGCGTTTTTTCACTAATTTACTACCCCTATTTTTAGACAACTTTGGTGTAATTACTCACAATTAATGGGGAGAGAAAGAGCAATCTTCAAAACACATTCTGAATAGCTTCAACATAAGAAGATTCAAGTCGTAACTCTTAGATGAGGACAATTTTAGTCACAGAAGCAGAACAGAGTATAGCTGTTCGTACTGTTGAGAAATCCAGAAATAGTCCATGCCCTATGAGCAATGTCTTTTTGCATTCATTTACAAGATATTTTTCTAAAGCGCCGTTGAGCTGAAGTCAGCCAGGGCTGGTTTCCTATTTGTTTCTCGCTATCACAAGCCCTTAGCCGTCTGCGAAACGAGTGGGCGGAGATGATGTAGCTATAGGCCTAGCTCGATTGCGACTTTTTAATCTAAATGGAGCATGTCGTTTTCGAGAGCAACAGTAAAGAGATTAGGCTGGGAGATATCGCATTATCGAACCAACGTTAATGGCGACTTTTTTGTAGAGTGGTGGTGAAATCCTTATCGTGAAGATGTTTTCGACGTCACAAAGTATTCTTATAACCCCCAGTAGGTGCACCCTTGTTGCTTAATGTTTGGAATGCCCTTCCCGTCTCGATAGTATTAAGGATTCTCTTCAAGTCATAAACGCAAGACATAACTGCATCCTGTACTTTCGCGACGCCTCTATGAGCCTTGTGGCGGTGTGAATGTGATTGATCACTGTCAATCTCCTATGAAGGCTTGTTTGCTCGTATTGTTATCCTTCATTTAGTATTCTGCCAATTCTGCTGGGGATGGTGTGAAATGTTCACAGATAACCGATAATAGGCACACGGCGGTGGGCAGGTAGACTTGGCTGTCGAAAAGATCTGGCTTAAGTCATGGATGGACTTCTCCACTGCTCTTCGAGATCGAGCGGCTCCTCGCTCGGGCATCATGTGGAAAATTTGAAAAGATATGTATCTTGGTGATTTGCCAGCACTCCGCTCTTCTAGCTTAATTTTCGTAGCCACATTTTGTCAACTTCGGAAGTTCAGTCAGCCGTTCGTAGTCCTCGTCAAAGTCGATGGCGGAATCTTCTCGTGGATTCGCTTGTTAAGCAAGGTGATATCCATTGATGACGGCCATGAAGCTGCGTTGAGATGGCGATCCTATCTCGTATAGAATTTGGAAACAACAACTACGGCAGAACGATCAGCGTTAGATAGCGTTATCTATTTATTAATAGAGTGGACTTTGAATTAACCACCAGGTGAAAAATTTGCACGCCTTCCAATGAGTCTTGGCAATAAACATATTGGGTTGCCCGGAAAGTCCCCGCCGATTTTCAACTCCTCTTTTATCAAGGTGTGAAAACTCAGGAATCTCAACTCGTAAAATTATATATTTCGAAAAGGGTAAGCTCTCCTCTATATCCCTAATCAAGTTTTGTAATATTCCTCAGAGTCCGTGCAAATTTTGAGGATCATCGTGTGCATTTGCGGCGCCTGATGCTTTTCTTCTACCGCAAGGGCAAGAATGCAGCTCAAGCCGTGAGGAAGATTCGGTACATTCGAATAGACATGCTCTCGTGGAATGTACAGTACACGAGCGCCGTGCGAAATCGAAACAGGGTGGCAACGCCTAGGCCAGATATCACCAATTAAAAACGATCAAATCAAAGTATTAATCGTGACAAATCGGCAAATCACTTCTCGTGGAATAGGAAGAAGACTGAGTGTTTTGCTTAGCGCCTTGATGTTTGGCTACTTCACGAATTAAGCGGGCACAATGTGATAGACAGTGCCTCCATATGCTATTCGTTGCTTAAACGAAACTAAAATGAGATGTTTCTGAGACGCATGAAAGCGGGGGACAAAAAGTGGGTCGCACACAACAACGTGAAGCGGAAACGATCGTGGAGCCTTTCCAGCGGGTCGTCACATTCTACTCCAAGAGTTAGAATTGAGGTGAGGAAGATTATGCTGTGTTGCTGGTGGGAGTGGAAGGAAATCATTTATTATGAGCTGTTGCCGCATAGTCGAACGAAAACTTTGGAAAGGTACTGCACTCACTCAGCTAAACAATTTACAGGCAGCGATAGACCCGTAGACCGTTGTCTTCTTACAGGATAACACCACACGTATATCTGGTTACCGCCAAAAATTGCTGGAGCCTGGGTGGGGTGTCTTACCACACCCACCATATAGTCTAGACATTTCCCCATCAGACTGCCACTTCTTGGGGTTTCTGCGAAACTTTTGAATGGAAAATCGTTCAATTTACTAGAGTACTACAAAAAGCACCTGACAGGGTTTTTTTGACTTGAAGTCTAGAACCTGCTATGAAAGTGAGATAATAAAACCAATAGAAAAGTGGCGAACTGTTACTGAACAGAATGGACGATATGTTGTTCAATGGATGGATTCATCCTTCTAGAAATTATCTTTCAAGGATCACTCAAAAATCGGCGGAGGCTCTCCGGACAACCTAATACCAAGTTTTTTTGATGTGGTCTTAGTAACTTGGCTAAATTTCACACTTTTCGGCTATCGCTTCGGTCCCGTTGCCTTCAACAGAGCCTAGAAGTCAAAGCACTCATTTCTTTACCTTCCAGGCTCGGCAAAGGCGATAAAGCCAAGAAATTGGCCGGATAATGCTGTTACATTTCAAAGCTTCACTCTCACTTGATGCCTTTCAAGCCCCTAGATGAATCGCGACTCGGATGCAAATGGAAGAGTTGTTGGGCTATTAATTACTATGTTTGGTGTTGGTCGGCATTATGAGCTCGGATAGTCTTTCACCCCGTTCAATCTGTTCCGTTGATCTCGTGTGATGCATCTGAGCCGTTCGCTGGTGGCTATCCGTGGCGTCAAACTTGCTAAATTCCCCGGAAAAATATCGTTTTTTTCTGTAAAGCTTCTTGTCCATATAAACTATAAACAGCTCCTTTTGCTCCTACCTTGTTGTTGGGATAAGGGTAATGAGGATGCTCTGAGCTAGCTCGAGCTAGATCTCCAAATTCGCAAGCACCTTGTATGAGTTGTAAAGGTCCGTCGAAGCGATTAGAGGCTTGTTGTACTGAAACATAACATGAGGTCGCTTGTGCTGGCCGTCTTTCAAGGAACAGCTTTTTCATTTTCAAGGATGTCGTGTAGCAATCGATTGTCGTAAACCCAGCCAGTCTGATGACGTCGTATTCGATCTCCCCAATTTGCGTCCACAAATCTCAATATAGACTACCGATGCTAGCGTTCGCACATTGAAGGCATGCCATTACCTTAGTCCCTTTGAGCTTTAGCTGTTCATTATAGCCTTCGCCAATCAAGTACTTCCTAGCTGCACAAAATTCTTTCAGCCGAACAGAGATGCAGTATACCAACCGCACTCTCATTTATTTCCACACAAGATAAGCTCCTAAGGAGACAGCGAGTACAAATAGTCTCAGCGCTACAGAAGCAAGGAGCCTGTCCTGTGGATTTCTAGGCAATTGACAGTGGTTTTCACGGCTCAAAAATAGTACAGACTCGAAATTAGACCTGGATAGCATAAAAAATTATTATACAGTAGATCAAAACGTTGAATATAATGTTTTACAATGTACGAACGTTATATATGTTGAGATAGAATACCGGATTTCTTACGAGAAGACAAATCTAGGGCGATCGATCACAGT